AAATAGGTTTTGCTCTGCGAGTGCAAAACTGTAACATTTGACTTTTTTTACTCTTTGTCATTGTATTTCTCTCATCGCTAATCAAATGTCTTCAAATTTATAAATAAAAGAGCCAAATATTTCACTAACAAAACAAGACTATGATCATAATCATGCATAAAGTATAAAAGATAATACAGACCGTTGAAGTGAGAACATTGAACATGTGTTACAGTTTTGCTCGTCAGTGTATATATATCTGTTTGGGTATTGTTAGCTAGATATTAATAAAGTTTAGTATCATTTTATTTTGTTTTGAATCGAAGGAAGCATATGGTATCATCACATAGTATCATCATATAGTATCTTCATATATATATATCATCAAATCTTCTAGCGTCTAAGCATACGCAATGTGTCTTGGAGCTGTTGAGGCTTTGAATTCCACGTTGTAACTCACAGAGAGCTAAATATTTGAAGACAAGGCGAATAAGTAAAGAAAATTAATGCATGGCATGAAATTTGAAAAGATTTGCGGCATTCATCAGTTGCCAGCTGATGAGTCTCATCAACGCTTAAACGTTTCACATTGTTGTAATTCTCCAAAGCATAAAATAATGTAAATTGATAAATTGTAATTAAAATCTATTTAGCGAAACTAAGCAATTTGTTTATAAATTACATAAAATTATGCAAATGTTGTTGGGTTCGATGCGAGGCATTCAAATGAGCCTGAAATTGAGCTCATGCTGCTGGCCCGCCATGGTGTCATAATTAGAACGTGCTATGCACGCTGACAAGGAAGGAAGGCAGTGCACCACAAAGCACCACTGTGCACACATAAACGCTCATCAAATCCACTTAAACTGGTAATGGCCGTGCGTTGCCGTGCAGATCAGCCCAACAGCCCACCAATTGGTTTTATTTGCTGTCAACTAACAGCAAAACACGCATACGACGCGTTGCACCGTTGCATAGCTGATTGTGGCCCCCGCTGGGAGTGTGTGTGCGTGTATGTGCATGGGCCTGGCTTGGTGTGGCATTTAAGTGCCGCTTGGCCTAGCCAAAGGTGCAATGAAGAGATGCCAGCAACAGCACGATGATAGCCAGGAGGTCCTGCTGTTTGCCAGCTGCGGGCATTGAGCAGCAAAAGCTGAAGCAGAGCCGCCTCTCGTTGGATGTTGGCCGACGGTTCATGTGATTTTTGCTCTGATTTGCGTTTAATTGAATTTTGCGTTTGACACAGCTGCTGTTTGACCTTCTCCCCTGCTGAATGGGCGCAGCACATTAAATTGCGCCGAAAAGAGGAAGCCTGCCTGGAGCATATTGAGCCCACTTAAAATGATTACGAGCTGGCCCTAAACGGGCAGACAACTCGCTCTCTCTCGCTCCCTCTCACTCTCTTGAGATACATAAATCAAGACGGCTGTTCAGTGGCTGGTCAATGAACCGCAAGAGCAAAAAAAAATATAGGAGTAATGAAAATAAAAAGATAAAAATAGGCAAAGGCAAAGGCAGAGTCTGGTCTACTCGTGCTTCGGTCTATAACCATTAATGATGTGGCCTACAAGCCTCGATACGGGCGCGAATACGTGCCTCAATGCCACAGTTGCCGCAGTTGCCCGCCTATCAGCTGTTGCAGTCGTCGCCAGCAGAACTGGGCCTATGCCTGCCCATCGACCATATACAGTAGAACAGTAGAAGAAATGCGCCAAGCGGAAACAACTTAATGACGCGCGGCGCTAATGGTTCACTTAAGCACCCACATAAGTTACCCGCTCGCTTCCCCAAAAACAGAGCGATAGAAAAAAATATACGCAGAGTAGCGACAACTGAATACGCTTCGAATTTATATATTTATTTTAGATAACAAATAAATGAAAAATATGTTCTGTGAGATCTTTGAAAAGTTATTTATATGCATTTATTTTATTCAATTACATTTAGGAAATTTAAGCATTTCCAGTAATCAGTTAATTTTATTGTTAGTGAAACATTTAATTAAGCTAAGCTTTTCATAGAATATTTATATATATAAATATATATACACTAAAAATTATTATTAAAATTTATTATTATTAAATTCTACGTATGCCTACAGTGTTATCTCTTTAATATTATATATTTATTTTTTTTATTCATCAGAAATGTTTATTGATTTATTTCAACACACTTTAGTTCTTTTCTAATTTTCTATTAATTTTTGTGTGAGGTCATTTTATCTTCGTTGTCAAGAAAACATTAATTTCACTTGTGTCTAATGCCCTGTATTTACTTAAATATGAAAATAAATGTACAATTAGCTTACATAGCTGTATGCGAAAATCACTCGGAGGTTTTACTGTATATGATATGTATATTTATATGTGCTATATGGGCATTAAGGTTAATTAACATAATACAGCTTCACTCTCACATGTTTGTTTGAATATAAATCTCAACTGTTAAGTAGTTTATAAATACATATAATTTGCAAAATATCTTCGCAGGCAAAATACATTTCATATTTTGATTTCCAAGCTTTAAAACTAGATGCTTGCAAATCTGAGTGCCACGCGTATAGGGTATATACCAGTCACACACTTTCAACTGAATTTCTGTTCATTTCTCTTATATTCTTTTTTTTGGTTTTTTCTGTGCCCCATTACATTTCAGAGGCGTCGCAGTCTTGTGGGTGTCACTGTGTTGTCGTTTTGCCCGCCAAAATCGGCAAGCGGCCGCCACTCCTCTCTTCGCCCAGCTTGCCTCTGCTGCTTCTATGCGTACTCCAGTGCTTGGCCTGGACCGGCGTCTGCTTTCCCTTCGTCGAGTCGCACAGTAATAATTTCTCGCTAATGGTGTCCTAAATTGTCAAGAAATATGGAACCATTTGAATGTGTTGCCCCCACCCACATACTCCACTTCAGTGTGAGCGTGTGGGTGTGCCAACCGGAATGATTTGATATATATATATATATATATATGTGTATGTACAGTTATGTATATATATATATATATATTTATCATAAGTATATGCGCGCTGTTGCTGAGAGTGCGGCTTTTAGTTCGTTTGTGTTCTTGACTTCCGGTTAGCCTGTCGGCTAGAAAAGTCTTTGTTTTCGCTTTTGATTTCTTTTATGTGGACTAAAAAGCAGCAGTGGGCGTGTCTCTAGGGCGGGAGTCTATGAAGTGCACATGTTTTTGACAACTCAAAGCACACTATGAAGGCTGCACAACTGGTTATATGGGCCAACAACATTCAAAGGCAAATGCTTTTCTAAATGGAATCAGCATAAGAAAAAAATATGCGCAGATCAATAAAGGGCTGACCAATATTCAAGTCATTTTATATAGTTGAACAAATTACAGGGATCAAAAGAAATGCATCAATAATTTATGAATAAATTACTAAATTGTGGAAGAGAATGAAATATGTGCAATAAATTGAAATACGAATTTCATTCAACTACATAAAGCTGAGACTTAGATTGCTTAAAGCACATAACATTTATCTTCTTCTTTCAAAACTGAGTTGAAAAAGCCACTTGTTGCAGCGTCAGCTTAAAGCAGACGAACAATTGTTTAGCTGCTCATTAAATATGTTTGCCTTAATGCAACGTAAGACGGCTACGTCACGCATACGTATCATTGAGCTATCCAGTAGAATACTTTGTTATCGTCGCTTTCTCTCACAACTTTGCTGTGGTAAATACCCTCAAAGATGGCATCTCGCATTCATCTTCAGCTATTCAGACAGACAAAAAATGAAACTTAAGAAGTGTGCGTGTGTGTGAGTGTGTGTGTTGAAGCATTTATGCCAACACAGACGTAAAAAATCTGCTACTTATAAATTATGTTTATTTATTTATTATATTTTTGAAGCAGCTGCGCTCAACTACGCAACATTTTCTTCCTGCTGTCAACGAGTGTCCTGGCTGGCTGGCTGGATGGCAGCGTGGCTGCCTGGCTGGCTGGCTGCTGGCATAACAATGCTTTCTCTTTGTCTCCGTCCTTCACGTTTTCTTCGTTTTCATAAATCTGCAAAAAAAAAAGATGAAAAAATACGTTGTACAAATGTTGTTGACAGCGGACAAACGGACAGACGGACAAGCGGACAGCGGGCAGCGAATGGACCCTATAGGACACTCTCAAAGCTGGCCATTTACAAAAAAAAAATGAAAAAAAAAATACAAGACGAGGGTAGCCTCAAATTGGCCAAGCTGACGAAATTGCGGTGGCTTGAAGTACTCCCAGGCGTTTATAGGGCATTTGTTGCTAATAATGTTGTCGATGTGACAAATACTAATACAAAGCACATCATGCCATCTACGTTACGACTGTGCCAACGATATTGACCATTTCTCAATATCAGACGATTAGCTAAGCGTATTTCTTATATATACTTACACTAATATGACTGATGAAACTATATTTAAATATTCATTGCTGCCAAGGAATATTTCTAAGCAATCCATTAAGGCTTTATAAATATCGAACAAGATTTGGATTGGGCTGAGACCTTAAAGATATATTGAGCAAAGCTTAGATTTGACCTTAATAAGCTTGGATCTTAGGGAGACGTGTGGAGTAGGTGAACGTTTCGGTCAGTTACGATCCTAAATCCCAGGATGTTCTCTGTGCCTTAGATCTTAGTTTCTTAAGTTTCTTATACCAAATTAACTTGTTTGGTTTTTAGTATAATTATATTAATTTTTAATAATTATTTAAACAATTTTTAAACTTATTCATGACAATTATATAAGAATATTGAACATATATATCTAAATTTTCATATATATCTTAATTGGCCAGAGTATATGGCCAAAGAAACTCCAAGTACACAATAAAGCTTTCAACATTAAAAGTTTATTATTAATTAATATTCATAAAAACATTTTTCTTGAAGAAGAGCGGCCTCTGCATATCTTAGCAATATATTCTTATTTTCAACAGCAAATTGAGCTACTCTTAACATTGTAAGATTCTGTAATTCTGTAATAGTTTCGAAAGTTTGTAATAATTTCTTAATCGAAATAGACGTTGAAAGGAACGTAAGATTTATTTGAAAAATGTAATTTAATTTTGCATAATATAATAAATAATAATAAGTGAAAAGAACTTATCAAAAATGGCTGGAAAAGGTGTGCTGATTGTATCGCCGTTGAACGTAAAGTTTCAGTGCCCATTTCCGCACATACAGAAGCGTCAGCTGAGTCTGCTCAATCTGGGCCCGCAGCCCATTGTCTATTCCATAGCCATAGAGAATAAGATACTGTTTCAAGTATACCCATCAACTGGCAGACTATGGGGCTTCGAAACCATCGAGCTGAGCATCATGATGAAACCGACAGTTGGAGATCAGCAGGGCAGCTCCTTAATGGTCAAGCACAAAGTGAAGGAGACCTCAGATAACCAAGTGGCGTCGGAGGATTGGACGGATGTGCAGGCAATTGTGGTGGAAATTACGCTAGAGAATTCGATTGAAACCGAAAAGGAATTACGCGATATGATCGGCTCGGATGGCAGTGCCAAGGATCTCATTCAAATCATGGAGAAGCAGTATCAGCCACTGTGCCACAAATGCTGCATGAAGCGTTTCCAACAGCCGCTAAAAGAGCGCAGCTGGATGAGACGTATGTGGTGGCCGTTCCTGCTGGTCTTGCTATCGGCTCTAAGTGAGTGACTTCAGCATTATCTGTATAACATGTTGTAGTCGAAGAGTTTTTACAATTTAGCTTACTTTCTTTGGGATCTCTTTGGACGGTTTGAGCTCAACCCGGACACGATTTACTAAAGGGCGAGCTAGCGGTGTCTGGCTGTAACAACAATGCAAATCAATTATTAAATTATGCAAATAGAAAACTAAGCCCGAAGCAGTGGTAAACACAAGTTTCTACCTGCTATGCACGTCGATACCCATGCCAAGCCAAGCTGAGATTGATAAATCAATCATACGCGCCGTTGGCTGTGACTTTAAATCAACTTCTCGGCTGTCTGGCTGATTAGCTTAACTGCCGTTTCATTAGTTTGATTTTGCAGTGCAGCGATTGAGACACCCAAATACCACAAACAACTAACACACATACACACACCCAATCACACACACGCAGTTGGCTGCTTGGATTTATTTATAACGCAATTATTGCCACAATTAATTTCTGGTTGCATTCTAGACGCGTATCAGCTATTTTGTACGGCTCTATATATTAATGTTGACTTAGGCTATTACTGCTGCTGTTGCTGTTGCTGTTTCAACTTTAATTAATTTACTATTGTCTGGGGCAGTTGCTTTATGATGCCAATTAACATTCTGTGTGGCAATTCAATTTACGTTCACTCCCCCACTTGAAATTCTAATGCAAATCCCTTGCAGCGACAGTCAAACTACAAATTGATCCCCTGTGCATTACGCTAAAGACCTTGATGCTGCCCTCATGACAGCCAATTCATATTTATTTTATACAATTTGCACAAAAATGAGCCACGACACCAGGCAAGGCACTTAAAATGCCGCCAGCCACTGCAAATATCCCCAATGACTCTTTTTCTGCATCGTTCTGTATGCGCTGTGCTCGGCACTGGCTCGGCACTGGCTCGCTTCTTATGCCCTTTGCTGGCATTTTTATCACCCAGTTGTAAATGCAACAGGATAAGAGAAACCGAATACTTGAAAAAGAAAAGTTAGTTAAGTATTTCGTATTCAGACAATGAATGGGCAGTCGTTAAAAGCTTGTTATGGCATGATTATAAACTTGACGGACTGTGAATATGGTTTATAGGGGATTGTTGTAGCTTAAATTACTGCAATTTAACTTCAAACAGAAACTTGGCTCTAAGCCTAACATGAAAAATAATCCTTGGGTGGGCTGAGTGACGAAAGCTTTGCCAAAATTGTTGATCTTTAGGTATGAGTAACTGTAGCTTCTCATCATATATGACATTTCCATAAACTGAAGCTGAGCAACTTCATTGTATCCACTTTTGTGAACATCAGCATCAACTTAGGCATTCAACTTAGACAATTCTTTGACCCTGATTAAATAAATTTTCGTTGTTCAATTAATATTCTAACATTTCGCAGGTTTCTAGTTAACATTTTTGTCGTGTGTTCGAAATAAAAGTTGAAGAATTTTGCTGTTTCAATTTCATATTCCACTGCTAGTCAGTTGGAAGTTATAAATGTGTTTTGAAAGAGGCACAAAGGTACCTCATCTTTCATTTCTTTTAGCTAAGATACTAAAGCTAAAGATACGTCAGTTAACAATAAGCATTTGCAGAAAAGGTCGAAGCGAGGGTCATGTGTCCAACTGGCAATAAAGCAAAATTCAATTTGTTGCCGCAATTTATGCCGATGTGAACTAAAAAATCGTTTGCTGCATATCCGATTTAGTTGTTGCTGTTGTTGTGGCTGTTTCGCTTTATCACAATCAGAATTTATGTGACATAAGGAAGTAAATTTGGGACTTGTTCTAGCCAGCCACCCAACCAAGCATGCCTCTCGCTCAGTTGATTGTATTGAGAAATGAATGAAATTAGAATGTCTGATGGCATTTTGAATTGGATTTCGACGTTTGTTCTTTGCGTGTCCCTTTCCCGCTCGTACAATCGGATGTTCCCTTTTGGTCTATTCGTGCTTGTTGCCGTGTTTGTTGGCCAATTTCAAGCGACACCACAAGACAGGCCACAAAATGGCGTCCTAGCTTTTCCCCCGGTCAACCACAGGACCATTTCCTGTGCCCCTGCCCAGCCCACCCCCCTTCACTGCCCTTGCTGCCCTTCGCTTTTGATTGCTGTTGCATGTCAAAGATTTTGAGAGTCAAATGAAAATATTTTGTTGCTGCTACACTGGAAAAAAGGGAAATATAAACAAAAAAAAAGCGCATAACGACTGAAATCACAAGCTAGGTTTGTAATATTGAGCTGTAATAAAAATATTTGTATAAAAAAAATTTTAAAATTGATTTTTTCTAGTTGCTGGTTCAAGTCGGAAATATCAACTTTTTTTAAGCGTTTCGTTACAATTTTATAAAATTATTGACATTTCAATTACTAAGTGCTTCATGTGACAGATACCGCATGACAGCGAAGGCGTGATTACGCAGAGAACTCAGAGAAAAAAGGATAAAATCCTTGAACACAATTTTTTTTTATTTTAAAATCTTTTCTATATAAAATATTTGTTTTTAATTTAATTTTATTTTTTTTATTTTTTTAATTTAATTGCCAAATCGTATTCTGTCTGCCGTAATCAGTGAGAGTAGTATGTGCCAGGTGTACGGTATTTCTAGTTAAGCATACACCGAAATTAATGCTACTTCAGCATGCTAAATATTTTCATGTCTGTTTTGTCAAGCTGTTCGGGCCGTAGATTTAGTAGCGGACTACCTCTGTTGCCATAGCCCAACCGGCCCCCTTATGACTCATTAAATTGTTAAAAGAAATTCTTGAGGTGTTCGGGCCAAGTGCTTCGGCAGGCGCTCTTTGGCCACCGTTGATGGTTGTGGCACGAAGCACGCATAAAACCTACAAATGCCACAAATACGAGTCAAGTTTTTGCTTTTGTTTTTGTTTCTGTTTTGGGCAAAAGTTTTACGAGCTTATCCCAAGAAATAAATGCGAGTGTGGAACACGAAAACAAAAACAAAAACAAAAACAAAAACAAAAAAACACGTGCCAATAACGTTGACTGCAACAAGCAGCGACCGTCAACCGGAAACCATAACAACAACGTCAAACAACTGTGATGGGTAGAATTAAAACATGCGCCGAAAGATACCGACCGTGTGGGGCAGCACAGTAGCCCAGCAGCCCAGGTTGTGATGGGCGTGGCCTAAGCAAAAAATGTTATAAGGTGCCAAAGGCCATAAAAGATGCAATCAAAATCAAACTGATTTGTCTCCGGGGAGTGTTGCCAACTTTTATGTTTACGAGCGGGTCATGGCAGCTTCAAGAACTGCACAAAACAGTTGCATGGCCCCAGCGAGCATATCGAACTATAGATACCCTGTGCAAGCATTTTCCACTCTAATTAAAATAAATATTCATCGTAAATAATTTATTTGATTTAATTTAATTCAATTTGCAAATTTTGGCTTTTATTTCGGCTTCTCGTGCTTAGCTGATTGAGTGTTTACAATTTAAATATATCCAAATATCTATGTATGAATAATTTATTGAATTTTATTTTTGTGGCTTTAGGCCGAATTTCGAATAACGTTTCTATAAATAAATAAATAATCAATGTGTTTATTTAGCTTGTAATTGTATTTTTCAATATTATTTTAGCTATTTACTTTTTAATTATGCTATCTATTTATGAATTAAGTTCAATTTGCCTGACTGAATAATTAAGTGCATGACTAATTGGTGATCAAAGCACTGCAAAAACATTTAGTGTTGGAAATTTATAATATTTGCTGAGGTTTACTTTTGGGTTAACATTAAGATGAAGTTTCGGATGGACATGTGATTGAGTAGATCAGAATACCTTATTAAGTTTGTTTTTTTAGAGCTGTATAACTTTGAGTTGCCAGTACTGCCTTATTTGATAGCCCACTGAACAGCTGATAAATGGTTTATTGTTAAGTTTGGTCTAACATTTTATTGTGAATAGATTAACATATACAGTAATACTGGCAAATTGTTGAAATTTTTAGTACGATGTCGCTCATTTTTGGTTGAGTGTGATCATAAACGGACGGAATATATATATATATATATATATATATATATATATATATATATATATATATATATATATATATATATATATATATATATATATATATATATATATATATATACGAATATTTAGCCTTTAAACTTGCTATAAAAAAAAACATATATATCTTATTATCTTATAATTATGTGTATATTTAATACATTTCTTGTCTACTTTTGAAACTATCAAAAGTTTCTGAGACTTGAAATTGTACAATCAGTAAACTGTGGCTTCAACTGTCTGCAAGTTATATGCTTTAAATCTTTTTAATAATATAATTACTTAGAGTTCATAGAGTTAGAAATTAATGAACTTCTCTAAAAGCTGATGCTATCCATATTATATATACTTTATGCAACAACTTAATATACATATCTAATCTTAAGGTGGAGCACATACTAGATTCTAAATACACGTAGTTTCTTCAAGGCAAACCTTAATCAAATAGTTTATGGCAGCCTTCGACTTGGCCCTCGTCTCCGCCCTCGCCGAAAGTGGTATACGGAAGGCATTTGTATTGTCTGTTTGGCGTACAGGAAAGGGTCTACGTCCGTTAAACTGGCTTTAATTAGACAATCGTGAAGTCGGCTAAGTTATGGGCTGACTGGCTGGCTATGCTTTTGGCCTCGGGTTGAGTCGTGAAATTTATGCGTTAAAATTGCATAATTTCCAGACACACACACACACTTTCACGCACACAGAGGTACACGCCCAGCAAAAGTTTGCACATAAATTTCAGAGTCAAGGTAAGAGCGCACAGTTTTGACTGCATTTCCCTTCTTCTAGCTGCCTGCCGCCGGCCACTGGCGTGTGTCCCTGGCCTCACATTGAATTAAACACTTTGTGTTTTGGCCAACTCTGAAGTGTCTTTTGATGCTGGCCATCTGCACTCACACACATACGATACGTTTTTAATTTCCTGTTTCTGTTCTGTAGCTTCTCTGCTGCGATTGCTGTCGGCTTCAGTCTGCTCTGTTATCGGTCGCTGCCCCTCGGCTGTCGTCACACTTTTTCCCCCAATTGCAAATATGGCCAAATTTTTGTGTTTCTCTTTCGCTTTTAAGTGATTTTTATTTTGTTTTTCCACGCGGTCGGCTGTCTAATAGTTTTTACTGCAACTTTATTTAGTGCGCCTGCAGCCACCCGGGCTTCTCCTCGCTGTC